ACCAGTTAAGAAAACAGACAGGGAACGGGGACAGGCAAAACAGGAACTGTTAAACTGTCAAAGAGAAAAAACCTGATTTTACTCACACAGTCTGGAAGTTGTGTCCTCCCTATATTAAAGCTGCTATACAGAATCTGCAAAACAAACTGGTGTGAAACATTTTTGACCCTCTTTAACAACATTCCAACATTGATCGGGGAGATTAAAATTAATAATGTATTTTTATGTGGTTCAGCCACAACTCTAGTAAAACCTCAGCCAGTAATGGGTAGGCCAACATTTGGACCGTCCAGTTGTCTGTATGACTGCTGCAGTACGTACATCACATTTGCACACTATCAGAAAGAGCTAAACAGCCCTGGTGGAGTGAGGAGCTGTAAAGAGAAGCAGATGCTCTGTTTCTAAAAATGTTTTAAGCTTGTTTCAAAGATTCTGTACAGCAGCTTTAAATGTTTTCCAAAAGCACACATACACTTATCAGTGTTTCTCACTCTTTACAGTGTGTACCACCTGATAAAAATGTCAAGCTCTCCCAAGGACCACCATGAAAGCATGAAACCCATAAATCTTACAACACAAAATTAGTATTATTAAATTAGTAAAATTAGTGTCTGCAGTAAAGATTTTCATTTGTAATAATTTACTGTTTTGGAAGTGTTTTTTATGCATCTGTATTATATTATATTATATATACACATTAAAAGTGAATCTCTGTCCAAAAAAAATGCACTCAGTTTACTTTTTACTATGAGCATCATTCATTATTCTCCCCCAGTAATTAAGGTTAGGATATGTATTTGTTTTATTCCAATCCATTCTTCTTTTGCAGCATTTAAATAACCTTGATCAGATTTGATGGTTTTGTTACAGACTTTTCAAAAAAGTGTTTTGCTTTTCTTTCACAAATGTGGGGATTAAATTGTGTTAAAATGTACAAAACGGTGATGTCATGTTTTGAGACGAGGACCCAGGCACAGAGAGACTTTATTTAAGAATCATATGATTTATCTTGCCTGGCTGGGCGGCTCTCTGGGTGCTCAGCCTCCAAAGCTCTAATCCTAGAATCGCCCCTGCGGGAAATTCAGGTTTTTTGTTTTGTTTTGTTTTTTTTCTTAGATAGATATGCAGACCTGTCTGTTGTAGTGACTCTTTATGAAGCGAAGGGAGCAGCTGAAAGAGCCCCCCCCGTTCATGTTAAATTCTTCTTATACTGCCATTTTCTTTTTTGTTTGCTCTTACTTTCACAGGTGGACAATAAGGCCTCCAAGTCTGTGCCCGTTGTGATAACAGTTGTCATAGTCCTGATTCTGAGTATTGCAGTAGGAGTAGTCTTTGTCAAGAAATATGTCTGCGGTGGCAGGTTAGTATACCTTGGCACACAGGATTTTACTCCAGCAGATAACCTTAGGCTGTCTACAGGAAAATATGTCGAGCATAACAAACTTTATCTA